TTATCTGAAGTATCTAATAACACTGTTATCTATCTTCTACAGTTATAATCATTGTCATTATCTGAAGTATCTAATAACACTGTTATCTATCTTCTACAGTTATAATCATTGTCATTATCTGAAGTATCTAATAACACTGTTATCTATCTTCTTCAGTTAAAATCATTGTCATTATCTGAATTATCTAATAACACTGTTATCTGTCTTCTTCAGTTATAATCATTCATTATCTGAAGTATCTAATAACACTGTTATCTATCTTCTTCAGTTATAATCATTGTCATTATCTGAAGTATCTAATATCACTGTTATCTATCTTCTTCAGTTATAATCATTGTCATTATCTGAAGTATTTAATAACACTGTTATCTGTCTTCTTCAGTTATAATAATTGTCATTATCTGAATTATCTAATAACACTGTTATCTATCTTCCTCAGTTACAATAATTGTCATTATCTGAAGTATCTAATAACACTGTTATCTATGGTCTTCAGTTATAATCATTCATTATCTGAAGTATCTAATAACACTGTTATCTGTTTTATTCAGTTATAATCATTCATTATCTGAAGTATCTAATAACACTGTTATCTGTCTTCTTCAGTTATGATAATTGTCATTATCTGAAGTATCTAATAACACTGTTATCTATCTTCTTCAGTTATAATAATTGTCATTATCTGGAGTATCTATTAACAACTGTTATCTGTCTTCTTCAGTTATAATCATTGTCATTATCTGAATTATCTAATAACACTGCTATCTATCTTCTTAAGTTATAATAATTATCATTATCTGGAGTATCTATTAACAACTGTTATCTGTCTTCTTCAGTTATAATCATTGTCATTATCTGAAGTATTTAACAACTGTTATCTATCTTCTTCAGTTCTACCTATTGTTACTGTAGCTGATATATACAATAACACTGTTGGTTCAGTTCTAGTGTTAGTTGTTATCTGAAGAGGCTGATATGTACAACACAAATATTCAGTAAACATGCAATATATTTACATACAACACAGATACTCAGTAAACCTGTGATGTATTTACAGTTGAATTTCTTTGCAGATGGACTAACATTAACTACAAGTAATAAGGACGAATCGTCTTCTTCGTGGTTAAGTAAACATGGCTTGTCAAGTCTTGGGTTACGTTTCAGTGACATTTTACTAAAAGCATCTTTTCCTCACTGTAAATCTTCTCCACAGAAAAATCAAGTAAGTGTGATGTTATTTGTGAACAATTGTAGTTCAAGTCACGTGAGCTGGATGTTATTTGTGAACAACTGTAGTTTAAGTCACGTGAGTTGATGTTATTTGTGAACAATTGTAGTTCAAATCATGTGAGCTTGATGTTATTTGTGAACAATTGTAGTTCAAGTAAACATGGCTTGTCAAGTCTTGGGTTACGTTTCAGTGACATTTTACTAAAAGCATCTTTTCCTCACTGTAAATCTTCTCCATAGAAAAATCAAGTAAGTGTGATGTTATTTGTGAACAATTGTAGTTCAAGTCATGTGAGCTTGATGTTATTTGTGAACAATTGTAGTTCAAGTCACGTGAGTGTGATGTTATTTGTGAACTATTGTAGTTCAAGTCACGTGAGCTTGATGTTATTTGTGAACAATTGTAGTTCAAGTCACGTGAGCTTGATGTTTGTGAACAATTGTAGTTCAACTCACGTGAGGGTGATGTTATTTGTGAACAATTGTAGTTCAAGTCATGTGAGCTTGATGTTATTTGTGGACAACTGTAGTTCAACTCACGTGAGGGTGATGTTATTTGTGAACAATTGTAGTTCAACTCACATGAGCTTAATGTTATTTGTGAACAACTGTAGTTCAAGTCATGTGAGCTTAATGTTATTTGTGAACAACTGTAGTTCAACTCACGTGAGCTTAATGTTATTTGTGAACAATTGTAGTTTAACTCACATGAGCTTGATGTTATTTGTGAACAACTGTAGTTCAACTCACGTGAGCTTAATGTTATTTGTGAACAACTGTAGTTCAACTCACGTGACCGTGATTTTATTTGTGAACAATTGTAACTGAACCAATGGCTGCTTTCCTAAAGGAACTCTGTGAAAATCAATTGTAGTTGAAGTTTGGAACAAACATAAGAATGGTTCAAGATTTTAAGAACACTTTCCAAGTTTATTAAGGTTGATTACAACACATATTTTTCCATTTCTTATTATTCCAGAAGTTCGTGGAAGCCACCTACTGTTCAGCTTTTCCTCACATTCAACTGAATGACAGTTCTGTTGTCCATGTGCATATGACGTCAGATCTGTACAGGAAGTACAAGCTGAATATGGAAGAAGCTGTTAATAACTTTGAAGAAAGGTTATTTATAAATTATAGATTGTTTAATATAGTACTACATTTTCTTTATAATATAAGCTACTTGGAAACTGTACTGTTTGTAAAACATGAGAAGAAACTGTACTGTATGTTAAACACAAGAAGAAACTGAACTGTTTGTAAAACATGAGAAGAAACTGTACTGTATGTTAAACACAAGAAGAAACTGTACTGTTTGTGAAACAGGAGAAGAAACTGTACTGTTTGTGAAACATGAGACGAAACTGTACTGTTTGTGAAACACAAGAGGGTGTGACCATTTTGTGCATAGACACTACTGAACACTATCTTTATTTTGTTGTTTTGTGTGTTTCACTAATAATACAGCTTTCTCCAAGACTGTATTATTCTGTTCTTGTGATAGAATATCGTGGTTGTTGCGAAGAACCAGAGCCACGTTTGGAACTGTTAAAGAACACCGGCTGTATGTGCTTCTTGATACATCCGAGTCCATGGAATACATGCTGAGAGATGCTAAACAACAAGTGGAAAAGTTTTTAGAGGTGAGTGTCTGTTTGTAAAACATTTACCCACGACTTCACTGCACTCCTGACCTTTCCAAGATGTAATTGATAAGAGAAGTTTCGAAACACTTAACAAAATTCAAGCTTAAATGGATGAATATTCTAAAACAATTATTTTCTCTTATTTCTGACATATTAGTTTTCTATCGTGGAAATGGTGTGAACTGTTATTCACATAGGAACATAGGCTGTATCATGAAAACTAGCATTTTGTTAGTAGAAAAATAAACCATTATCTGCTGGGAACATAGGCTGTATCATGAAAACTAGCATTCATGTTAGTAGAAAGATATATCATTATCTGCTGGGAACATAGGCTGTATCTATAAAACTAGCATTCATGTTAGTAGAAAGATATATCATTATCTCCTGGGAACATAGGCTGTATCATTAAAAACTAGCATTCATGTTAGTAGAAAGATAAACCATTATCTGCTAGGGCTAGTTTTTAATGATACAGCCTATGTTAATCTGCTGGGAACATAGGCTGTATGATTAAAAACTAGCATTCATGTTAGTAGAAAGATATATCATTATCTGCTGGGAACATAGGCTGTATCATTAAAAACTAGCATTCATGTTAGTAGAAAGATAGATTATTATCTGCTGGGAACATAGGCTGTATCTGTAAAAACTAGCATTCATGTTAGTAGAAAGATATATCATTATCTGCTGGGAACATAGGCTGTATCTATAAAAACTAGCATTCATGTTAGTAGAAAGATAAACCATTATCTGCTGGGAACATAGGCTGTATCATTAAAAACTAGTATTCATGTTAGTAGAAAGACATATCATTATCTGCTGGGAACATAGGCTGTATCATTAAAAACTAGCATTCATGTTAGTAGAAAGATAAACCATTATCTCCTGGGAAAAATAATCATGGAGATGCAGCATAAGTTGTATATTATTTATTGTTTGTTTTATTATTGTACCAGGTAGAATGTTCTGACAAATATATCATGTTTCTATACAGGACCAAATACATCATGGTCTGACAAATATATCATGTTTATTTCTATACAGGACCAAATACTTCATGGTCTAAGAAATATATCATGTTTGTTTCTATACAGGACCAAGTACAAGGCCGTTTTTTCAATTTGATTTGCTTTAAATCTTTTCCTTTGAAATGGCGTCATAGTTTACTTGAAGCAACACCAGAGGCGCTGCAGTCTGCCCGAGGCTGGATGTGGAGCCAAGAAGCAGGTGGTTCAACCAACTTACTGGCTGCTCTGACATGTGTTTTTGCTGACCCTTCAGCCCAGGCCGCTTACCTTGTTTCCGATGGCAGATGTAACGAGGTTAGGATGAACTTCTATAGATTTTGCATCCCCAGGTGGGACAGTGGTAAGTCTAAGGCTTTACAATGCTAAAATCCGAGGTTTGATTCCACTTGGTGGACACAGCAGATAACCCATTGTGCTTTCACACACATATACATCCCAAGATAAACTTCTGGTTGTACCTCTCTTTGACAACAATAATATTCTATAAATAAATTTCAGCATTTAGCCATATCAAATGTTTTTATTATTTAGCTTACTGTTTTTCTCATAGTGCAGGTTAGAATGTTGTAGTTGTGAACAGTGAAAAGTAAAAATAATAAAAATTATTGTCCTAACTTCTTAATTATAAACTTCAACTAAAAGACAGAATTACCTGAAAGTTATTGTCACACAATGGGCTATTTGAGCTTTGTCTACCATGGGGTATCGAACCATGGATTTTAGTATTTAGTTAGTAACTTGACTGCTGATCCACTGGGGACTTTAGTTTTGTTATCTTCAATCAAGTCACTGTGAATCTTGAAAGCTTCCTCCTACTGCTTCTATCCCAGGATCGAGAAGAACTGTTAGCAACGCTTAGGACTCAGCGAGTGGTTGTACCAGTCAACATTGTCTGCTGTTCCCTACATGATGTTACTGCAGCTAATCTGCTACACTCTATAGCTGTTACTACTGGAGGAATGTTTCACTATCTTGATTCGGCAACCAGAAACAGTAATTGGCCCAAAATGAATGAGGTGAGGTAGTTCGTTACCCACTTGAGATCAGTTTGTTTTACTGTTAAAACCAATAGTAAATTGATTTCCCAAGTTATTTTATATAAACGTTTTCTAATTAAATGTCACCGTAAAATATCGGACTTTTCACTCAAATGTTTTGGTGTCATTAACTAAAAAGAAACATTTCTAATTTCAGAAGTTCTTCTTTGAATGAGAAAAGAGCTCATTACAAGTTGTTGTTTGGTTCTATTTCAGAGTGAGGATGTACAGTTGTTGAAAGAAGAGGTCATCACAGGAAGACGATATCTGGATATGACCCAGTCTTTATTAGTTCAGTGCCAACAACTTGCATTGCAGCAGAAAAAAGAAGAAAGTAGACGAAGTCAACTAAAACTACTGGTGAAAAACAGTTTCAAAACACGGAACTCCCAAATGAATCCAAATCTCAATAAAAAGCGATTGACTTTGAAATACAGAGGTCGTAACAAAAGGCAACTTGACCTCACCAACCAACCTGCCTGGGACTTGAGCAATACACAGATGTCAGTTTCTAGTAAAGCAGAGCAAGAAACCAATTCTCTCAATAGCAACGAGTTTCAGCCTATACCTGTTGTAAGTCCTTTCAAGTTTAAGGCAGTCGAGTTTCCTAATAAAGGTGCTGGTGGAGGTCAGTTGGAGGTACAAAGTCTTGGGAATATAATGGGTGTCAAAACTCTCAAACCTGTTTTAGAAACCTCCGAAACTTTGAATCAAGAACAGAACGTACTTGATATATTCAGTAGCTCTGTCGAGAATATTTCACAGTCAACACCAGGAGAACTTCACCCTGAACTTTTGAAAGAAACAAAACTTAAAAAAGAAAGAAAACAAAATGGTAAACCAAAAAAGAAGAAGAAAGTAGCAGTAACCTCGACCAATCGAGTGGGAAAGAAAAATGGTGTAAGAAATCAGAAAGCATGTTTAAATCATAAGACCAGTGAAAGTATAGAACAGTCCAAATGTCTAGAAAGAGGACAAAGTACAACTACTGATGAAAAGCAAAGTAAAAACAGTTCTCCTCGAACCAGTTCTGGATACCTTTCTAGATCAAGTTTATCAGAGGCTTCAACTCCTACAAAACTCAAATCCTCGTGTTCTACATCATCCCATCATCTCAAGCAGAAACAGCCTTCAAAAGCAAGATCAAAAAAAGGTTGCAGAAAAAAAGTCGACCTTCATGAAGGTAAAAACCCGAGATATTCAGGTTCTAAAGTTGTCAGACCCCACTTGGAGAGTCCAGAAACAGTCACTCAGTATTGTGTACGTTCGTCTACAAAGGTTTCTGAGCTCAGCAAGCTGTTAAAAAAGACTGACCAGTTGGAAAACAGAAAAATAAATATATCAGATTATCACGAGATTAGTAGAGAGTTTATTTCACTAGAACCTGAACTCTTCAATAGAAACATTGAAAGTGTATTAAACTCTGGTACGTGCCTAAACTGAATAAGACAATTTGAATTAGTTTTAAGCTGGTAAAATAAATTATAGGTGAATTTTTAGGAATGAAATGAATTATTTTGTTTTTCCCACCATTTGTTTATTCTACTAAAATGTATAATTACAGCAATCTTTGTAAATCAATGATTAAAATATTGCAAAGTTTACATGTTATATCTAAGTACACCTTATTGTAGGAAGTTTTAAATGTTGCAGATTTATCATCACACTGATTTAAAGAAGCAATGACCAACAGAGGGGGTCATTTAAATAACTAAAATAGTCATGCATGTGTTACAGTCCAGCAATGGGGTCATTTAAATAACCCAATAATCAGGTATGTTGTACAGACCAGCAAGGGGGTCATTTAAATAACCCAATAATCAGGTATGTTGTACAGACCAGCAAGGGGGTTATTTAAATGACCCCCTTGCTGGTCTGTACAACATGCCTGATTATTGGGTTATTTAAATGACCCAAATAATCAGGCATGTTTTACAGACCAGCAAGGGGGTCATTTATATAACTAAAATAGTCATGCATTTTAAATAACCAAAATGCAATGTTGTTCAGGGTATTCAGTAATCATTGTAACAATTCTCACTGTAGTCGTTTCACAACTTCAGTTTTGAAAAACAGTTTATGTTCAAGATGTATTGTTATAGAGGACATTCAGTAATCACTATAACAACAACAACAACAGCCCCCAGTCGCACAGCGGTGAATCTGAAGGTTTATAATGCTAAAAACTGGGCTTTGATACCCGTGGTAAAGAACAGCACAGAAAGCCTGTTGTTCTCATTATGAGTAAGAAATGTATATTGAATTAGCTATATTTCTTACCAGCTTTATTTGTATTTAATCTTTGCTCTACATAGGTTTAATCAAATGTCAAGATGAAGTAGTCTTAGCACTTGCTGGTTTATCATATTTTTTTTTTCAGGAGTGACCAAAGCTATGTTACTGCAGCTCCTCCAGGGTTCTCCGGTGAGCAGAAACTGGTTGCTGTCTGGCAACAAAGACCGGAAACCGTGAAAATCAACAATACAACTCGGTATTGGAACGCTGGCTGATGGAACTTATGACAGTGTTCCTTTGTTCAGTTCTTACAAACTGAATGTGAAGATAAGAACTATTCCTCTGATTGCATGCTCGTGAATATTTCATTAAACCCACTTTGTAATAATCATGTTCATAATAATTTGTTTTATGAACATTGTCTTTAACCCGTTAAAATCTTTTCTGTTGAAAAATATGAACAACCCCTTCGTTATCATGAAGTGTTCACAGACACAAATAGGCTGTGAATATTCGGTTGTAATTGTAAAGGAAGAATACTTTGGATTTAAATTACAAATTCCATTGTTCAAATTATAAACCAATACACATGTTGATAGATATGTGAATTCAATATCTTTAAAACATGGTCAATTCCACCAGTATTTTGTAGTCTAATGTATATTATGCTTCTAACTAAACATAATCCATCTTACTAACTACACACCATTACAACACAAATAGATAATCGATCCTTATTAACCACACACCATTACAATACATATAGATAATCCAACCTTACTAACCACACACCATTACAATACATATAGATAATCCAACCTTACTAACTACACACCATTACAATACATATAGATAATCCAACCTTACTAACCACACACCACTACAATACATATAGATAATCCAACCTTACTAACCACACACCACTACAATACATATAGATAATCCAACCTTACTAACCACACACCATTACAATACATATAGATAATCCAACCTTACTAACCACACACCATTACAACACAAATAGATAATCGATCCTTATTAACCACACACCACTACAATACATATAGATAATCCAACCTTACTAACTACACACCATTACAACACAAATAGATAATCCAACCTTACTAACTACACGCCACTACAATACATATAGATAATCCAACCTTACTAACTACACACCATTACAACACAAATAGATAATCGATCCTTATTAACAACACACCATTACAATACATATAGATAATCCAACCTTACTAACCACACACCACTACAATACAAATAGATAATCGATCCTTACTAACTACACACCACTACAATACAAATAGATAATCCAACCTTACTAACCACACACCATTACAATACATATAGATAATCCAACCTTACTAACCACACACCACTACAACACAAATAGATAATCCAACCTTACTAACTACATACCACTACAATACAAATAGATAATCGATCCTTATTAACTACACACCACTACAATACATATAGATAATCCAACCTTACTAGCTGCACACCATTACAATACATATAGATAATCCAACCTTACTAACCACACACCACTACAACACAAATAGATAATCGATCCTTATTAACCACACACCACTACAATACAAATAGATAATCGATCCTTACTAACTACACACCACTACAATACAAATAGATAATCCAACCTTACTAACCACACACCATTACAATACATATAGATAATCCAACCTTACTAACCACACACCACTACAACACAAATAGATAATCCAACCTTACTAACCACACACCACTACAATACAAATAGATAATCGATCCTTACTAACTACCACACCACTACAATACATATAGATAAT